TTATAGAATCGTAATAGAGCAACATAAAGATAAAATTTTTCTGTTTTAATTTCTAGATAATTATACCAATTTCTACAAGAACTGACATTCGTTGTTCTTGTTTTATGTCACGGAAATATTAGCGCCAATCCTGTTTTTAATCAGTTCTTTCTTGTGTCATCAGTGTTAGAATTTTTTTGAGATTTTGTTTCAATTTTCAGGTATTTTAGTAAAGAGGCATTTAAAGTTTGGCCATGTAAAGAATAAAGAATAGTAATACACTGATAATTTGTTTCTCTGTTTTCATTTTTAGCCATATATATAAACTTTCAGAAAAACCGAAATTCATTGTTCTTGTTCAATGTCACAGTAATATTTACGCCAATCATGTTTTTAATCAGTATTTTAAGAAATTTTAGAATTTCTTCTCCCCAGTTTTTAGGTATTTTAATAAAGTGACATTAAAAATTTATAAATAGAAAGAATATAGAATCATAAAGAAGCACCACACTGATTATTTGTTTCTCTGTTTTCATTTTAATGTAATGTTTGAAGTCATAGAAATTGAAAGTCTTAAGTCATAGAAATATTTACGTCAATCTTGCTTCAAATCAGTATTTTTGGAATACTTGAATTTTTTTTTCTTTAATTTTTAAGAATTTTAGTAAAGAGACATTAAAAAGTTTATCATAAAGAGACTGTAGAATGGTAATAAAACAGAACATTGAAACTATGTTTCTCTGTTTTCATTTTTAACCATTTATACAATCTTTCACAAAAACGGATATTTGTTGTTCCTGTTTTAAGTCACAGAAATATTTATGTCAATCTTGTTTTTAATCAGTATTTTCGGAACTTTAATTCAATCTATCTTACTTTTTAGAAATACACTAAAACAACGACCTTTCATCTATCCCAATTTCTTTTACGGGAAGCTTTCGTGTAGAACAAATAAAGAAAAATTTATTTCCTTATCGTAATTGGTACTATGCTTTTAATGATAGTCCCCAAGGCTCTGTTTTAATAGCTAGTCACAGTATGAAGGTCTTTAATGGGCAATAAATAAAACTTTCAGAGTGATATACTTTTATACTAGTTCAAGAAATTAGTACCTTTACATGATTTCCTTTCTTTTATATTTTAATCAGTTTAAATAGTTCGGTTAGTGCAAATTGTTATAAAGTGAAAATGTAAAATTTAAAAAGCTTTGCTATTTTTTGAAAAGCTGTTTTTGTGCTTTTTGTAGTTTTTAAAATTTCTGAAACATATTTTCAAACGAATTTGCTTTTAAGTAAAATTGTATGCATTATTTTTGCTGAGGGTGATCTTTGCAGCTCTTTGGAAAAAAATATGTGAATAAAAAAAAAAGTAATTATTTGGATGCTTTAAACTTCAAACAAAGCCTTAATTTCGAACTATAAATAATATAATACTGAAAGCTGATAAAAATGTATGGTCAAAACTACCATAATATGGTAAAATTTACCGTGTTTCTTGCTCTATGGCTACACCAAAAAGATCGCTAATTTTTATGAAGCACTTTGGTAATGATTTTGGTAAAATTAGCTGTAAAATGTTGTTTTATCATATGAATCTGGAAAATGTGGCAAAATTCAGTAATTAATCATTATTGCTTAGAGCATGGAATAAAAACCATTTATTTGGTTAAATTTACTTCTTAATTTTCTATTTGTTACTAAATGTGTGGGTATGAGAACCTTAATGATGAAAACCAAGAAACCGTTATTATATGAATGAAAATATTTCCAAATGAATTGTCTAAGTACCATGCAATTTGGTTTTAGTAACCAGAATTATACATATGTTTTTTACAGAAATATCATTACCATATAGTACAGTAATTTTATCAGAAATTTCTTCGCTGTGTATTGCCTATGCTTTAAAACGGATAAATTACTTAACAATTAAAAAAGAGAAATTAAAAAAAAAAAAAACTTTTCCTCTAAGACAAAATTTCTTAAAATCAATGAATCTTTTTTATTTTTTTATTTTTCTATACAATATAGCAGGGAAGTAATTTTTCAAACATCATAAACGTTTTTCATCTTCAAAATACAGCGGCTTTTCTGCTTTTGAAATTTCTTGCTAATAATTATTGAAATATTTTTTCGAGTCTAAAGGTTCTTTAATTAGTGAAATTTTGATTCATTAGTGAAAACTTAGATCAAAAATGCTTTTCATTCCTACAAAATTATAGCTTTTTATTCAACAAAAATAGCACAATATACACTAAAAAACGATATTTCATATCAGGACATACCCTTTATAGAACATTCTTAATATTTGAAAAATTTCAATAAAATGAATGCTTATTTTAGTTAAAGTAAGTTCGTAATTAGAAACTTGAATCACCTTAAGCTGAAATGAAATAATTCCAAGAATACGAATATTTAAAAAATGAGTTTTAGCTATTATAAGATATTTTCTCGTAATGCGGGACATGAGTTTGCTTATTGAAGTTTTGCATTTTGTTTTAAAACTTCTAATATATATATATATATATATATATATACTTATTTATTCATCTAAGCACACAGTAATTAATTTTTCATTACAGCTACTAAGAAAATTAATAAGCAACGAAATTTTTTTTCTTATAATTTTCTTAAATTAATGCAAGACAAGTAAAACTATCGAATGCGTCTAGAGTCATATTTTTTGAAAAAGAAACGGACAATTTTTTGCTGAAGATTTTTTTTATATATTTACTGAATTCTTCGAATATTCTTTTTAAAAGTGGTCACTAAATATTTAAAAACAAAATTATTAAAAAGATGATAACTTAATAGTAAAATATTAAATTTCGTTCTAATGTTATCGAATTAATAAAGATCGTAATAAATTAAAATGATTTTTCACGTTTTTTCTTTTCTTGCTAGTAGCTATTCTAAGTGACAAAAACTATGTCTTTAAGCTGTAAATTTGAAAAACAATAATCGAACTGATCTTCTTTTTCTGTTCACAAAGATATAATCTAATATTTTTTTCTTTCTCATTTCCCCCAATTTTTCATTCCAGTTTTCCGTTGTGAATTGAATTTGTCGAATTAAATTTGACAAACTTTTTTTCAAGTGTTTCTAAATGTGTCAACAAATTTATGATAAAAATTAGCTGCATTTCGTTCCAAAGCAAACAATTTTGTTTTGTACAAATTGATTGCTAAGATTAGAGAAACTCGTTATGTATTTTAATGTGAAAAACTGTCTCTCTCTGATCGAATGGTTAATAGAATTTTAATCTTTACAAATCTTAGCTTAGCCATAATACTTGTAAACTTTACCTGTAAACTTTTTACAGAAAAAAATATATGTGGTCTTATTTATTTCCTCTTCAAGTTATCACTATCTTGTTCGATGTTTCTTAACAATACACAATTTACTAGCCATATTTATTGCTAATTTGTCACAAAATGTAAAATATTTTACGTTTATGCTTTTAAACGATCATTAGGTGAGTGAAGGTTGCACAGAATCAATAAACTTTTTCAATTCAACAACATGAAAAATATTAAAAGTTTTTTACCGATGGTCAATATAACTCAAAGTTAAGGTTGCTTGAAACTTAGGAAGGATTTTATTAGCATAATGATGTAACAATACATGCATGAAATTCATTATCTTTTACTATACAATGCTCTTTACGATAACTATTCCAACATATTTTTATTCAAATAATATTTTATTTAAAAAACATACGAAAGAAAGAGTTAAATTTTGATCCAGGTGTTTCGAAAATTATCGGAGAATTACGAGAATAATTGTTGTTTAAAAGAGAGGTACATTGTCCGTCTAATTAAAGAACTCCCTCCGCCAGTTGTCAGAAGCACTGTCGGTGGCAATGGTAATGAGATTAAACTATTTCAAGCAGGGGTTTAGGGAGAAAATTTTTAAAAAAAGTTTTGACTCAGGTTGGCGAGAGAAGCTTAAAAAAAATTCCCCATTTTGAAATGAACTTTATCTTGTTTCATAGCAGAAGACAACCTCAGAGTCTGTGGCCGGAGGAGTTCTTTCGTTAGACATACAATACTTAAAATAAAATGGTACTTTTAAACAATAAACAAGATAAAAGACTAAATATGAAGTGAGTTACTGTTTTTCTAAATTTTGATAGAAGAGTTTAACGTGTTAAGTGGCATTTTGGAAACATTCGTATTTTTGTCTATAAACATGTTATTGAATCCACTCTAGACTTCTCTATTAAATCACAAATAAGGCTGTTTCAAACGGAAAACTATGTTTTAAAACAATTTACTTGTTATATCTATGCTTTACCGGCAAATTTTGAAAGCCAGCATTCGCAGAATACCAAAAACTGACGGCAGAGTATGAAGTGATTAAGCATTCCACTTCTCGCTTTGGTGTTCTATGGAATGACAAATGACAAACCTTCAAAAAATGCATTCTATAATCCTCATCATCATGCATTCTATAATCCTATTAAACACCAGCCTTTCGTACATTGTCAATAAATGCATAATTCCCCACCTTAATAATTTTATTATTTTTTCGTATAAATAAAGATCGTTATATTTTTCAAGTAAAAAAATGTTCTTAATAATAATAATAATAGCATTTTTTATAAATTACTGTCTGTCAGATAAACGTGTCTCAGATAATAGCTTTTAAATAGACCTTTTCTCACGTTTTTTGTACTCGTGAATGCCTAGATATTTTATACAATGGCTAGATAAATTATATTCTTATAAATTAACTTCTGCCTGAAAACTACAGTTGTTTTACAAAATGCGAACGTTTCATTCAGTGTCGGTAGCATACAATATAAAGTTTATTTTCTAACATTTACTAAAAAAGCCACTCAGAACTTTTTTTTACTAAACTCTTCAATAAAATTGCATTGTTTTAAAACTGTTAGGACAATAAATAACAAATAACACCTGGCTCGAAATTTTAACAACAGGAGAAATTTTTTAAAATTCTTAATGTATTTTTTGTATAAATTAATCTGCAAGTAATACAGAACGAACGCCTTCTGAACTGCAGGTGAAGATTGTCAACCAGCCGAAGATGTCAGTGGGACGGAAGAGCAGAATAGCCACCTACTTTTGCTGAGACAACCGGTTGATACCTCAACATCGTGCAAAAACGAAAAACGATCAGCCCCAAATTACATCCTGAATTGAACTCTCATCGTCTGTGGATATCAAGATTATCTCAAAGAAGAAGGTAAACAACATTCATTCCCAAATAATTCCTGAAAGACATTCCAATTCTATATGTTTGGAAACCGCAGAGGTAGGTTCAACTTTCCTGAAACTACCTTCTAAAGAATGTGGACATTATACTGCTTTTCCGTCAAACTGACTATCGGCCTGGTGTGTCAATAATTGTAAAGAAAAACAATATTAAATAAAATAAACTATTCGTCATGTGCATATAGTTCTAAATGCAGCTAAATCAACGCATTTTTTGTATTGATTTTGTGTGGAACTGCTAAAATATTGCACGTTTTTATAGGCTGCAAAACAAACCAACAAAACAGCCGAATTTATGTCATAATATTGTACATGAAAAATGTAAGTACTCTAAAATATTTTTCTTTTGTGTATTACTAAACAGACTAAGACAAACTTATCAAGGAATTGATTGATTATCATCACTAGTTTTATTAGGTGAGTAAACAAAATGAAAACTTTCATTTTATGTTGTTACATATCTCTAGTGAATTCTCATTGAGATGTTCCGTTAAGAGGTAAGCTCTTACTATTTACCTCATTAAAAAAGCTAAAAAGGTTTTATTTAGTTTATTTTAGACTAAATTTAAGCTATATGTAAAGTTTGATTTATTGTAATCACTCACTTCCTGATGTAAATAAAATGAAATTATAGCAAAAACTTCTAAAAATAAACATTTTATATTTGAATGCTTAGACTTTTTTTTTCTTTCTACATTACTGTGTTTTATCTAAATCATAAGAAATTAGTTAAACAATGTCAAAAATAAGTCAATAAAATCAGCAAAACTTCTACAAATGAACATTTTATATTTGAATCCTTAGGATATATTTTTAAACACTCTCCATTACCGTGTTTATCGAAATCGTAAGGAATTAGTAAAACCATGTAAAAAATAAGTGAATAAATTCAAGAAAACTACTAAAACTAAGCCTTTTTTATTTAAATGCTTAGGCTATATTTTTTACTCTACATTACTGTGTTTTATTTAAATCACAAAAAAATAAGTGAATAAAATCAACGAATCTTTCAAAGATAAACATTTTATATTTGAAAGCTTAGACTATATTTTTTTCCTTCTGTATTACTGTGTTTTATTTAAAACGTAAAAAAATTGTAAAACCATGTAAAAAATAAGTAAATAAAATCAAATGTATTTAAAATAGGCATTTTTATGATTAGAGTATTATATTTTTAGAGTCATAAAGTTATTTTGCGAATCCACATTTCGGCAAAGTATGCATTTATATATAATCTAATCATTACGAAACATTTACAAGAACGACAAAGCATATCATTAAAAACTTTAAACCTAAATTTCCAAATTGTTCACAGATAGATTCTTTTAGTCAGTGAAACAGAATCTTGGAGGTTTCAAGAGGTTTTTGATCATTTGTTGCAGCTCCTTGCCATGATTTTATCTCCCTCTCGGAGAAATAATTATTTCACCAAAATATTTCCCTTGGCAATGGATTTTGCTTCGATTATTAAACATAAGTTGTGGCACATTGAGTTGAATTAGTTAGAATAATTTGGCCATTCTGAAAATTTACTTGAGGAATTTACTTGGAAATTTACTTGAAAATTAATATGAGGAATGCATTTTACGTTAGACATGCAAAATTTTTTCTTTTTGTCTTGAAGTAAGTCTTACTAAAATATTCCCCTTTTTTGAAAAAGAGATAGTGGAGGACGCAGAAAAATGACACAATCTGGTTGATTATATTCCATGAAATCTCAATAGTCTATGGAAACCAGGGGTACCTACTATTGAGCAAATGCCATTTTATTCCTTATTTTTTAAATTTTACAGTGTTTGATGAGCATTGAAGTGATTGGTGCTCCAGATCAGTACTAGCATCTTTTTAGCATTTATACTATTGTTAAATTTACACAATTTGCTTTCAACAGTTTTCTACGGCGTTATTCAGAAAAGGTTATAATATTTGAATCTGTGCGTGCTTGTTTTACATGCTATTGCGTTAAACATTTCAACGTTTGCAACATTTGAATCTCTGAACAGAAGACATTTGAATTAATATGATAAAAATAACGGTACTACTAGCGACTCTTTTCATGAGAACTTATTGATCCTTCAGATTCCGTTGGGAACAATTCTTTATAATCATACACAAAATTAAACTACAAAATATTAATTTTACCATTTTTCTCGGAAGGATGCTTTTTATGGCAAAGCTCTTTAAAGCACTTGACAATATTAAATTAGTATATTTTAAAAGTTCAAGTTAATTAACAATATCTAATAAACAGTTTTGTTTGTAACACAGATATGAAATTGTTTTTACATTTGTTTATTTCAACAAAAACAAAAATATTTAGTAACCAAAAAATTTAAATAAACACCATATGGGTAATAAGGATTCAGATTGTCATTTTAAAAGCAAACACACACACAAGGAACAGCATTTAGATAATGATATTTAAGAAAATGAATACTGTAGAGAAAACAAAAAGTAGTATTTTTTAATCATTTAATAATGAATATTTTTGAGCTTAAATGATTAGAAAAAACATCTAAGATAGGCACTTTAAAATAGCTACTTGAGTATAAGTATTAAAAAAAGTAACTCTGTTTTGAAAAAGGCTTATTAGGAATAATTGTTGCCCAGAATAAAGTTAATTTTATATTTAAACACCAACAAAGGGTACAAATAATTCTAAAAAGAGCAAAAAAACATTTGCTATATTCTCAATGTAAAAGTAATTATTTACTAAATTAAGTATATTTATTTACTAAATTAAGCTTAAACACGAAAATTCTAGAAATGTTCACTTTTTGCAACTATTTTTGAATTTTCCACTTTGATTAGACAAATTTATTTTAAAATAAAATGTGAATTCTCAGACTTTGATTTGCTTCCAAAAGTTATTTTAAAATTTACTAATGAGACGAAATCTAATCTTCAAGACTTAGTACTGTTATCTTAACCAGTACATGGAAAATAAAATCATGACTAAATTTGAGATATTTTGTGTAAAAATTACTTTTCCAATTAATTATGCAAATTTTGTGGATTTTATATTTCAAACAGAAATATAATGTTTCAAAGTAAACATCACGGAAATATTTAATCACTATGTTTTATTTCCACAACCATTTTAATTGTATGGATATCATATTTTTGAAATATTTGGAATATTTCTTAAAGATAATAAGTATTTTTGCTCTAAATGTAAGTCAATTAAGTATATTTTGTTGTATCTCTTTCATGGAAAAACTTAATTAATTAGTAAATTCTAAAATATGAATTATTTAGAATATTATATGAATTCTAATAGTTTTTCAGAGTTTATCGAGATTTATATTTTAAATTATATGCGTTATCTATTAATTTTATACATTTCAATTATCTAAATTTAAACATATCTACCTCCATTGTAAACGGTTATCTTACTAATTAATATATTTAATATTTTTTTCTGTAATGATTAGTTTTTAAAAATATCTGTTAATGAAAACTAAAAACAGCATCAATCTACGAGTTTCTTTGTCTGTTTCTGAAATACAGAAAATATAAAATTAAATGTATGAATCAGCCATATTATCCACAAATGTTTTTAGAAGAAAGACGTAAGATACTGATTCAACAAAGAAGCAAATCATACAAACAATAAATACAATAGATTCGCAAAGAAGTAAATTATACTGATTCAACAACGATGCATAACTGTTTCAACAACGGTAAATGTAACTGATTCAATAATTTAGCTGTACACTAAACTCGTAAACATTTATGCATTTTCACAATAGCTTTGATCAAGATATGCAATTTCACTATACTTGCAATTGTCAATCGTTTTAGGTAAGCGTTTTAAATATAGCCGCCGCAATATGAAAATCCTTATAAGCTGATGGGTAAGCATTTTAAATCTAAATTATATATATAACAGTTTTCAAGTGTGCCTATAAAGGTGTTTTCATTAACAACATAACAGTTATTTAAGGTAAGCAGTGTAAAGACAATTAATATCCCAAGTAACAATCTGAAATAAAAGTATTTTTATGCAGTTTTGTAACAAAACAGGACGACTTCTTAAAAATAAAGATTTTTTTAAATGGTATAGTGTAATTTTTCCACAACAATTATACTGCATTAAAGATCGTTAAACTAAAAATTTCTAATTTTAACAACATTTATTAATTTGAAAATAATATATCTTTTTAATTTATGAATAAGTTTTATTAATTTCATTAAAATGTTTGATATTTTGATCATTAAAATGATGTAAGTTTGATGATACTTTCATTTTAAAATTTTAACAGCAAAACGTAATAAATTATAAAGTAAATAAAATCAGAAATTCAAACTATTTCAATGTAAAATTAAATTAATAAAAAATATGTTATATATGCTATGAGGGGCCATAATTAATGCATACAATATGACTATTCATCCCATTTATGATTTTATCAGTGTTATTAAAAGGTTCCATATCTAGGCTATTGTCAATATGGTATAAGTTTCATGGCATAAAATGAAAAAAAGCTTAAAAGTGTTGGTAAAATATACGTACTGTATGGTAATGACATTTCAGAAAAAAAAATACAATTCGGTTCTGGTTAAAAAAACCAAAATATGCATCATTTAAACCCTTCATTTGGAAAATTCTCCGTTTATATGGAAACTTTTACAGGAAAATCTGGTTACCAAAATTATTGTTCTTATTATCACTCATTTAATATAAAATACAAAACTGAAAATTTAAAAGAATAAGTAATTTTTATGCCGTGCTCTAAGGTATCATGGCAAAATTACCAGATTTTAGAACATTAACTAACTTTTATTATATATTATAAAACAATGTTTTATTGTTAGTTTTTTTATCAAAATCATTACCAAAGCCCTTCAGTAAAAATTACCGAGCATTTTTGTCCCACAGACACACGGAAAACTCTACCGCATTCTGATAGTTTTGACCATACTTTTTTTGTAAATGGAATCACCTATTCTAATTACTTATTTTTCTTCAAAATATTTCCAGCTTTCGTTACACGCTTCGTTAATTTAAAATAAAAGGAATGCATAGTTTTTAACATTTGCCGCATTTCTTTATAAAACTATGTGACGAAAGATTTCAATTCATTGTAAAGTACTCAATTAAGACTTATATCAAACAACTATAAGTTGTGCGAGCTGTTAAAATTAGAAAAGTTTTTAAAAAAAATCTTGAACTGGATATAAAATTGAAGGCGAACCAATCTATTCTGAATGAAATTTCGTATAATGCAGTTAAAATTCTTCTTGATATTTATATATTTCTGTCTAGAGAAAATCAAATAAAAGTGAAAACACCTTGGTTTCACAGATATTACCTCTATTATTAGCTGCCATTATCTCTAATATTGCAAATTATTGTGTCAAAAATATATATTTTTCATGTATTAAAACTATATATATATATATATATATANNNAGGTTATATATATATATATATATATATATATAACCTGCACAATAACTTGCATATATTAGCAGTTCGAAAACAAAGCACTATGTTTTATATCAAATTTCAAATCTAATTTGAAAACTTTATAAGTTTTAAAGACATATGAGCATTACAATAAAAGTGATTAGACATGTACTTATTTTGATTAAAGTATTTAAAATAAGTAGTATAATTTTTTTTTCTCTGCTGCTTTTAAATGTTTCTATTTTCCCCAAAATGTATGCAA